CTCTCTCTCTCTCTCTATATATATATATATATATACACACACACATATATATGCACATATATATGTATATACAATGTATATTTATTTATATCTGCCTAAAAGATTATTCATACACACACACACACACAAAGAGGTCTCACAATTAAGCTTGCAAGCTCATCTTAGAAAAGGTACTACTATTCATATGCACCTCATTGCTGAATATTCTCACTCTGGTCCCCTACTAAGTACTCCACTTGGAAAGCTATACATTGAGCCAGCACCTAGGCACCTAGTCTGCTCTTCCAGGCAATTTTGAAACTGTTTTTCTGGAATGGCCATCACAGCTGTCATCATAATAGCACACAAAAATATGCACATTAATGAACACCACTCAGAGAGACATTGCCACACATTGATACAAACAAAGATGTGATACACTGATATACTGAGGTTATAAAAACTCACTGAGTTGTTTGCATAGTGATGCCAAAGTAAGCACCTGGCCCCAAGTTCCTGAACTTAATAGTCAGACCTTGTACAACAACAGCTTTGACAGCCATTCCAGAAAAAGAGTTCCAAAATTGCTTTAAAGGGTAAACTAGGCATTGGTGTTGGTTCATAGCTTCTGAAGGGGACTACCTTGAAGGTGACTGCAGTGAGGCATGTGGCACTTTATCTAGGATGAGTTTGGGGACTTAACTGTCAGAGCTCATGTGTTTATAAATGCTGATATTTGTCCCGGACCACCTTGGGATCTCCTGTCAGGCCTTTCTTTCCTTGCTGGTTCACTCTATAATCAATCTCATTTCTTGTAGGCCAGCTGGTTAGCCGTGCACTGGAGATCTAATATTCATCAAATGCTCAAGCAGCTCTCCACAGTTGTCTCGTTTTACAGGGTGGCAGGCTCAGGCGGTGAGCCAGGGTTAATTGCCCTGCCTGAGTTTACCATGTACTTCAGTGGTGACAGTACAATTAGGACTTATGACCAGCAATTTTCCATGTAATCAACTTGTTCATCACATGGCCTGGCCCCTCCTGCCAGGTGCATCCTGGCATGACAGGATGATCAGCACTTGGCTGCAAGACTGAATGATGAAGAAATCCTAAGATTGCAGCAACCTTGTTAGTCTGACACTATGCTGAAAAGCTGAGAGCCAAGAAATAATAGAAATCTCATCTTGAAATATTAGTGATTTCTTAGCTCATCAGCCCAGGCTGTCACAGCCGATAACTCTGAAATATCACCAACAGGAGAG